CAAAGCATCATCAAGTTTAATAGCCAAGTCCTTCCTATTTATATTCACAGACTTCTCTAAAATTGATTTTATTGCCCTATTTGATACCTCTGCTAGTCCATTAGTTTGTGGGTGATATGCAGTAGCAATCTTATGGTGAATGTTATACTTTTTAAGCAAATTACTTACTGCTCTATTCAAAAATTGCGTACCCTCATCACTAATCAAGCATCTAGGTGTACCATATCTAGTAAAAATAAACTTTTGCAAGAAGAGAGAAACTACCTTGGCATCGTTAGTAGGGGTGGCCAAAGCCTCAACCCATTTCGAGACATAATCAACAGCCAAGAGAATGTAATTCTTACCGAATGAAGGTGGGAACGGGCCCATGAAGTCAATGCCCCAAACATCGAAAAGTTCAACTTCCAATATTGGGTTTAAGGGCATCTCATGCTTCCTTGTCAAGTTACCTGATCTTTGACAGCGGTCACATCCTTGAGTGAATATATGAGCATCTCGAAATAGAGACGGCCAAAAGAAACCACTTTGGAGGACCTTTGCTGCAGTCTTACGTCCAACAAAATGCCCACCATATGGTGATTTGTGGCATGCCTCTAGACTCTCATTCTGTTCATGCCCAGCAACACACCTACGAAGAATATTATCAGGTCCTAGTTTAAACAGGAAAGGTTCATCCCATCTATAAAACCTGACATCATGAAAGAACTTCTTTATTTGGTGCTTACTCAAATCATTAGGAATTATTCTGCTCACCAGATAGTTCGCATAGTTAGCATACCAAGGGACTTCAGAAATAGCTAAAAGATACTCATCCACAAAATGCTCTTTAATCTCACAACTATCATGCTGCAAAGAAGACTCTAGCCTAGATAGATGATCCGCTACTTGGTTTTCTGTTCCTTTTCTATCTTTTATCTCTAAGTCAAACTCTTGTAACAACAAGATCCATCTAATCAACCTAGGCTTAGCTTCTTTTTTAGCAAACAAATATTTAATTGCAGAATGATCGGTAAACACTATCACTTTTGTCCCAATCAAATATGAACGAAACTTATCAAATGCGAAAACAACAGCCAAAAGTTTTTTCTCAGTCACCGTATAGTTCAACTGACTACTATTCAAAGTTTTACTTGCATAATAAACAGGATGAAGAATTTTACCTTTCCGTTGACCCAACATCACACCTACAACAAAATCACTTGCATCACACATTAGTTCAAATGACAAGTTCCAATCTGGTTCAATTATGATAGGTGCTGAGCTAAGTGCTTTCTTAAGTGTCTCAAAAGCTTTCAAACAATGTTCATCAAAGACAAAGGGTCGATCCACTTCCAACAACTGACACAAGGACTTATAAATTTTCGCAAAATCTTTTATAAAACGGCGGTAGAAACCCGCGTGTCCTAAGAAACTTCTAACACCTTTTACAGTTGTAGGAGGGGGTAGTTTAGCAATCACATCTATTTTAGCCTTATCAACCTCAATTCCTTCTTCTGAAATTCTGTGACCTAAGACTATACCTTCACGTACCATAAAATGACACTTCTCCTAATTAAGCACAAGGTTAGTCTCTTCACACCTTTTTAAAACATTCTCTAAGTTCTCTAAACAAACATCAAACGACTCACCAAACACAGAAAAATCATCCATAAAAATCTCTACCGTGCTTTCTATCATGTCTGAAAAAATAGCGGTCATGCATCTTTGGAAGGTAGAGGGAGCATTACAAAGACCGAACGGCATTCTCCGGAATGCAAATGTCCCATAGGGACACGTGAACGTGGTCTTTTCTTAGTCCTCCGGAGCTATAGTAATCTGGTTGTAACCCGAATACCCATCGAGGAAACAATAACATTCCTTCCCTGCAAGACGATCAAGCATTTGGTCAATAAAGGGTAATGGAAAATGGTCTTTTCGAGTTACCTTGTTTAACCGACGGTAGTCCATACACACTCTCCAACCAGTCACCGTTCTAGTTGGGATCAACTCGTTGTCGTCGTTTGTAATCACCGTCATACCACCCTTCTTGGGAACGCATTGAACCGGGCTAACCCAACTGCTATCTGAAATGGGGTAGATCACTCCAGCATCTAACCATTTTATGATTTCCTTTTTGACCACCTCTTTCATTTTCGGGTTAAGCCTCCTTTGGCACTCGATAGAATTGGTGGCTTCTTCCTCCAGGATGATTTTGTGCATGCAAAATGTAGGGCTAATTCCTCTTATGTCTGCTATGGTCTATCCAATAGCCCTCTTGTACTTTGATAAAACCTGCAAAAGCAAAGATTCATGTTCATTAGACAAACATGAAGAAATAATAACGGGCAAAGTATCGTTTAAACCCAAATAAGCATATTTTAAATGAGAAGGTAGGGGTTTCTTTTCCAATTCTGGAGGTTCAATGATGGAAGGTTGCAAGGCCTTCAAATCCGCTATTGTCGGCTGCAAAAACTCAAAACGCTCAAGTTGGGGCAAAATTGCGCCAGGCGCAATTTTGGATTCTTTTTCTACGGCCTCCAAATCTGCTTCCAAGTCTTCCACCATCATTTGCTGGAGTTCCTCCATGATTGCTCCTATTGTAGAGCACTCCTCGACTTCATCCGGGAGACGCATCGCATCGAGGACATTGAAGGTTACCTGTTCATCATTGACCTTCATCGTGATCTCTCCTTTCCTAACATTGAAAACTGTATCTCCAGTTGCTAAAAATGGCCTCCCAAGAATGTTCGGCACCTCAAGATCTGCTTCACAGTCCAAAATTATGAAATCGACGGGAAAAATAAACTTATCAACTTTAACAAGCACATCTTCTATTTTTCCTTCCGGTTTCTTTATGGATCTATCAGCTAGTTGTAAAGTGACAGTAGTGGGACGAGCTTCACCTATATTTAACTCTTTAAAGACAGAAAGAGGCATAAGATTAATGCTTGCTCCTAAGTCACACAATGCTCTTCCTAGGTTCTTACCTCCTATTGAGCAGGGGATGGTAAAACTACCTGGGTCGTTACATTTAACAGGCAATGGATTCCCTAGAGCATCACTACTACACTTTGTCAAGGCTACCGTCTCATGCTCACCTAACTTCTTACGCCTAGATATGATGTCCTTTAAAAACTTAKTGTAGTTAGGCATTTGTTCTAAARCATCTATGAGASGTATATTGATATGCAACTRTTTTAGAATCTCAAAGAACTTCTTAAAATGACCATCYTGATTCTTTTTAACTAGCCTTTGGGGGAAAGGTGGAGGARTCTTAATATTACCTACCTGTGGAGTAGTGTTGGGCACTACTTGCTTACCTTTATCCGCCTTCTTATCTTTTTCTTCTGAACTTACAGGTTCTGCTTTCTCTTCTTGTTGTGGATTGGAGGTGGATGCAGGAATAGGTGTAACTACATGAGTTCCTTCGTCTGGAAGTGARGGTCCTTCATAACTTAATCCGCTTCTTGTGATAACCGCCTTACAGTGSTCCTTTCCCTCACGATCTCGCTTCRGGTTTTCTGTGTGTCCAGGCAATGTACCTTGGGGTCTAGATTTCTGGTCATTTGCAATCTGCCCCACTTGCATCTCCAAGCTTCTTATCGCAGCATCAGTTCTTGTCATGAACTCTTTCATCATGGCCTCCAAACTTACGTTGCTACCACTTTGCTGAGTAGTATTTTGACCTYTTTGCTGATTGTATTGTTGAGGCTGCGACGCCGGTTGAGTTGGAAAACCAGGAGGAGTATAGTTTTGCTTGTATTGTTGAGCGGGTGCTTGTGCACTGCTACTAGCTACTCCTTGGTTACTCCAGGAAAAGTTTGGATGGTGCCTCCATCCAGGGTTGTAAGTGTTCGAATACGGGTTGAAATTCTGCTGGGCACCTTGACCTACATAAAAAATAGACGCTGGATTAGCTGGACAGTTCTCATACAAGTGGTTATCACCACAATAGACACAAGATATATCTGAAATTTGCAAAATAGGAGAGGGTTCAGGTATCGCCGAAGTGACGGTTTTGGTTTCCTTCTCCATTGTCAACTGCTTTAACATTTGGTTCATAGCCGCCATTTGGGCTTGCATTGAAGCTACTGTGTCTAACTCAAAGATTCCAGCTGATACTTGCTTCTTTGGTAATGACCTTCCTATTTCGCCTTGGTCATTAATGTCTGTCATCTTATTCAAGATATCAACGATCTCATTTATCGACTTCTCTAACAACGAGCCATTGGATGCGGTGTTCAACATCATCCTTGATGAACGATCCAATCCTCTATAGAATTGTTCAATCTACACACATGCGGGCAATCCATGGCTCGGAAATCTTCTAAGTAACTCTTTAAAACGCTCCCAAGCTTCTTGAACTGCTTCGTTCTCCTTTTGTCTAAAAGACACAATGTCCTCTCGGAGGTCTGCGTTCCTGGTCAAAGTGTGGTACTTTGCCAAAAATTTCTCCGTCAGTTCTGCCCATGTGTTGATAGAATTTGGTTCTAATGTGTTTAGCCAAGTCCTTGACCATCCCTGAGAGAAAAAGGAAACATTTTTAATCTTAGTGCATCCTCAGAAACACCAGGAAGTTGAAATGCATTAGCTATTTCAATAAAGGATTTGAGATGGGAGTAAGGATCTTCATTAGTCAATCCTCCGAACTGGGCCATCGTCTGTAACATCTGGAACATGACTGGCTTGAGCTCGAACTGTGCGGCTTGGGGTAAAAGATTATTTATCCCTGAATTTAGGTTGTGGAACGCATGAGTGACATTATTTCGCATGGCTACATCTCGATTATCTGCTAGAAGGATCGGATTAGGAATTTCTCCTGCTCGGTTTGCTGCTCCTTCATCTGCCATATCTCCATTCACAGGTGGATTTTGTGGCGGTGGAGGATCTTGTGCATTTCTATTCATCTCGATGGTCTCTTCTTCTTCAACTTCTTTCTTTTTTTTTACTTTCTTTCTCTTTTCTCAACCTCTGCTCACGCCTTCTCCTCTTAAGGGTTCTTTCAATATCTAGATCAAAGGTCAACCAACCAGACCCTGTGCTCATACACAACTCCCTTAAAGGTTAGATATAACAGTTAATTCCAAGGACAGAGGTATGCAACAATCACACAATGAAATAATTCACTTGAAAAGAATATGATTTGAAACTCAAGTCCCCGGCAACGATGCCAAAAACTTGTTGGGATTTTCTCTACCTTTAAAAAGATTAGAGACTCGTGCAAGCGCACACGGTCACAAGTAATACTCGGAAGTAATCTAAGGTCGAATCCTCAGGGACTTGTTGCTTTTCAAAATCAAGTAATGCAGTGAAATAGTTCAAATATGCAATTGTGATTTAGGAAGAAAATAATGGTGAAA